GGGGGGGGGGCGTTTTTGACCCTACAAAAGACAGCAGCCCCTGGACGGTATCCATGAAAGTCTCTCCTCTGCCTGAAGGGCGATGCCAGCCAGAGGAAGGGGCATCAGCTGGAGAGAGAATCTGGCTCCATATCAGTCCCTCCCTTTCATCTCTTACTGCAACAACTGGGAGGGACTGTTTCAAAAACCCCCCCCCCCCCCCGCCCAGTAACAAATGGCAGAGTTTTTGCCTACTAGGATTGGTTGAGTAGGAACCAAATTCCCCACAAGGTGCGTTTGGTCCTCACGTTTCTCTCTTTCCTTCCTGTGCTTCTCTTCCAGCTAGATCTCCGTGGCAAGCTCTATTTGGCCCCTCTGACAACGGTATGGAGGAGTTTTTCCCATAAAAGTGTGCAGTTTGCCAACATAGTGAGAAAGCTGAGGATTTGAGCTCAGGTTGACAAGCATATGTGGAAGCCAGATGAAAGGACTGAGGAGGAGAGAGAACAGCTAGGCAGTTCTTGTCATGCTACCTAGTTCCAGGATTCCTATTTCTTTTTTTCCCCCACAACACTTCCTTCTCTCCTGAAAGAATCCATGATCCTTCCTCCGCTTCTCCCCGCCTCGGTGATTTCTGCAGCTTTTCTCCCTTTCTTAGCAGTGTCTTCAGGTTCCTAAATCTTAAGATCTTTCCTGGGTTTCTCAGGGGCAGAGACCAGGTGTCTTGCTGTCTTGCAAATTCTTAGCATTATCGGGTATTCTTCATATTAATATGAGTGTGCTAAGAAGGTATCTAATAATGTAACTCCCCTCCCTTCTAAGAACATCCAAACCCTGAAATAGAAACAAACCATGTCTTAAAAGGAAGGGCTAGTCCCCCACCCCCGCTTTTTTAAACCTTACATTTATTTCTGTTGTATTTTAAAATTATGACACTTAGCAACAAGGGAGTGGTTTCTTTGCTGGCTAAACTACTAAGCAGCTTGAATGAATTCATACTTAGATGTTTTGTCCCAAGGGGCACAATGACCCATTGAGCCTTTTAGAGCAGGGGCCTCCAACTCAAATTGTCTTGAAGGCTCCATGAGGACTAGTGCCTTAGCTGCCCAGCCAAGACTTCATACACTGATACAAAATTCAGTAGTGAGTAAAATATGAAGCAAATGAAGAATAACACAGTAGGTCATTCAGCATAAAGGTATTAAATAGAGAAATGTCCTGCCAAACAGCCACCATTTCCCTTTGGCTGCTTGGGCTGGGTTGATGGCTGTGCAGTAACAGTTGAGGTTCTATTGACAGGGAAGCTGGGCGTGTGGGGAATGGCAACGCGTGGACAATGAGGCTGCTGGCTGCACGGAAGTTTCCGTGGGAATGCAGAATTAGCATGAGAATGATACGCCATTCTCGGGTAGGGCAGACCAGGCCGTTTCTGCTGTCCCAGCTCCTCCGCCTGCAGCTCCACGCTGAGAAGTGCAGCTGGTCAAGCAGCCGCTGGTGCCACCCTTCTCACCCTAAAGCCATGGTGAAGACCACAATGGGACATCAGAAAGTTGCCCAAAATGAAAGAAAAACGTCAGGGGCAGGGGATGGACTGTTGCTCGCTCACAAGATGTCGCTCCCAAAAGCATCATTTCTAAATGGGAATCCAGTCTGGCTTGTTGAGAAGTGTGTGCCAGAAACGGTACAGGCAGCCTTAACCACCTCCTTCTCCTGGGGATTTCAGTGTGGGAACCTTCCATTCCGGAGAATATGCAAAGGCTACGGGGCAGACGTCACCTGCGGCGAGATGGCGGTGTGCACCAACCTCCTTCAGGGACAGTCCTCGGAATGGGCGTTGCTGAAGCGGCATGACACCGAGGATCTCTTTGGGGTTCAGGTAGCTTCCTGGCGCAGAATGGGAACAGGGCCCAGGGGCCCGAGAGGGCGTTGGCTCAGGTTGAGCTTAAATTGCAAAGCTCAACCTTTTGCCTGCAGCAAACGTCTTATCCTGAAACGATACAAAGAGGGAACAGCAGACATGGTGGCACCCCCTGGAAAGGGGCTCCCTGGTGCCTTTCTAACTCTCAGGATCTCCTCTGTTTGCAGCTGGAAGGAGCATTTCCAGACACCATGACCAAATGTGCTGAGCTCCTGAACCAAACCATCGAGGTGGATTTTGTTGATATTAACGTGGGCTGCCCAATTGACCTGGTCTATAACAAGGTAACTAGTAGCTTCTGGCCGAAGCACAGCTTCGTTTTATCTGGTGGATTGACTGAGAGAAAGGTTAGCTCTTGCTGCAGTGAGTTTACAACTTAGAAGGACGTTCAGGGAAAGAAGGCTCAGGGATATACATCAAAGAATATTACTGCATTTTCAAATGCATTTTTCCATCTCTGGTCCGCTCAGGAAATAGGTAGGATGAAATCAGTAAAGGAGGTATAAAAAATGAAGCGTCTGCACCTGTGGCTCCATGGATGTTGGGGTTGTTACAGGGAGGACACCATGGATAACCCTTTTAAACAACAGGTACACTCAGTATCTTGAAATCGGGCCCTGAGAGGTCTTATAAAATGGGTGCCGTGGAAAAGGGTGTGCCCATTTTCAAAATGGCTGCCCCACAGACATAGCCAGTCACCAAGCGCCCGTATGCCAGACAGACTAGTAGGTTTTTTCCTGCCACCTCTTCTAGTCCCCAGGACACTCTGCCAACCTGGCCTTTCCTTTTGAGGAGCGCCTCCAACGCCGTACGCGGGCTGGAGAGCTGTTCCTGGAAACAAGTGTGATGTTGGGGGCTGGTGCTTCGCTTGGGATCCGTGTGCTCTGCGCCTCATGAAGCAAGTTCCGTAAGACGGGGTCTTCTATCCTGAGGGTCCAAAGCTCCATCTGCGGTTTGCTGCTCATTGGAGACATTGGTTAGAGAGCTACAGTGAGACGGGCAGGGCCAAAGCCAGGTGGACTAGGCAATGCCAGGTTTGCAAATCCCTCCGTTCTGGGAGGGTCTCCCACGGATGGAAGCTGTTGGCAAACAGTGAAGGGAGGCATCTGTTTTCCCGGGTAACAGAAGAGTTAGCTTTCACCTCCCAAGGTGCCGCTTCCTTGCTGACCCGCGACTTCCTTCGTAATGCCACGCTTGCCATGAGTTTTTCTGAGTCCTCCTAGAACCCTCTCCTCACCAGCCTTGTTCTTGGCTCTGCCCAGCAGCAGTGCAGAAGCCTCCTTGGCTCTTGTGCGAAGGATGCCGCAGGGGCATCCCGCTGCGCTTTCAAGGTGCGCCCTGTTTTTAAGCCCGAGGGGAAGCACCATAGGAGGACGTTTCCCGAGCTGAAATCGGAACCTCGACGGCGTCTCCCGCTCCGGATGTGCATAATCTCTTAACGCATACGTCACCCTCTTCTTCTCTCCCTTACCAGGGTGGTGGATGTGCTCTGATGACCCGCACCAATAGGTTTGAGCAGATAGTCCGAGGCATGAACTCCGTAAGTGAGCAGCCACCTCCCGGCTGATTCCTACCTGTGCTGCATTTCATGTTCTCTTCGCTTTTTCTAAGTCCTCGAAACTCTCCCCTTTGCTGGGCTGCATTTCAGTGAATACGTGTAGACCTGAGGCATGACGGATCTGGCAGTCTCCTGTCTGGCTTGTGGGCTTCCCCGGAAGGCTCGACTAGATGGGCTCTGGCTTGAACCAGCATGACTCCTCCTCACCTTCTTATGATCCTGCTGCCTGTTTCGGTTGCAGACAATTGATCATTGGCTCTCTGTTTTGTTACAAAAGAGCCAATTCAGGGAAAGTGAATTCTATCAAGCGGGAATTCCCAAACAAACTGCCTGGCTAATTTCCCCCCCCCCGCTCTCTCTCTCCCCCAGGTCCTGGATGTTCCCCTGACTGTTAAGATCAGGACAGGCGTGCAAGAGAAAGCTAACCTGGCTCACAAAATAATCCCCAACGTCCGGGAATGGGGAGCCTCTTTGGTCACGGTACGGGACGCTCTGCTTTTCCTATTCCCGCTGGCATGGGTGCCTAGCTACTCAGGCTGGCAAACCTGAGTGTTAAGCCTCCCTTGGGTGTTCCCAGTCAGAGGAGGTCAAAGAGAAAGCGGGCAGTAGCATCCCTGTTCCGTACTTGGGAAAAAGCCCTAGAAGAAGGCCTCTTCCCGGGGTTTCTCTAGCAAAGCACTGAGAGAGAGAAGGGGAGCTCCTTCCTGCGTGGCTTCTTTTATTCAGAGCGATCCAATGTTACTGTATTTCATAAATGTCAACTGTGCCTTTTTTGACCTGGTTAGCTTCATGGCCGATCGAGAGAGCAGAGGTACACAAAGGTGGCGGACTGGGAGTACATAGCAGAGTGTGCCAGAGTGGCCAGCCCCATGCCTCTTTTCGGTAGGTGGCTTCAGTTCAGCTTTTCCTAGTCACTCGGTGTTGGTTTCTGCCTCTCGGCCTCTCGGCCTTTACGCACATTCAGCCATCGCAGGATAGCTGAATGTACCTTGGCTTGGCTTTGGTTGCTTCTCTTGGATTTCTTTCCCTCCCCATCAGGACATCTTTTTCCCTGGCTTTTCTCCCATCTCAGAATGTGCCTCTTCCACCGGGGTGCCCTAGCTCTGTCTTCGGCCTGCCTTTGCTGCCTCCCCCTCGCCGCTTTAGAAGCCTGTCAGACAGAGTGTGGTGCAAGGTGCCTCCGTTCTCAGTCCCAAGATGCTTCAGTTGCCGGGGGCCCAGGTGGCTCTACCGAGGGACTAAGCAGAATCAGGGTGGTAGTGATAGCAGAGGAGGGAAAACCGAGCAGCGACGCTTGCTCTGAATCCTCGTTTCTGTGAGACTCAGTGTATTCAAGTCCATCAGTGGTGAGCAATTAAGTTCTGTAGATTGATGAAAGAGCGTAGTGACTGGAGGCCAAGCCCTTTCTTCCTTGCTGCTCGTTTGCCTATTACTGCTTGCTCTGCGGGATGAGCATTGGAGGAGACAGTCCGTTGCAGATTTTCCTTGTTGACTAGAACAAACAAATTCTCTCTGGGTCTGAAAGAGTTAGAGTTAGCTTCCTTTACGTCTGTCGATCGCTGGCAGCCCATCCAGGGGCTCTGTAGGTCAGAGCCAGTGCCCCATGGGAGGTTGGCTGAGGCGGTGACACTCTCTGCCCTGCCTCTCATAAGCTGTGCACAAGTAGGCGTAGGCAAGGGGAAGGACCAGATGGCCTCAGAGGGGGGAGATACCAACACTCAAGATTCGAAGTATGGCGTGGTGACAGTGGCGGTCGGAAAAAGAGAAGAAAGAAGTGAGAAATCTGTAGCAGTTAGGAGGACAAAAGATGTTTGTAGCACAGACTGAATTTGTGAGTATCCCAGATGCTGAGTCAAGGAAACAGACCTGGGGAGCTGTGGAGAACAAGATGCTCAGCGGTTACAGGCTCTGTCCCAACAGGGGATGAAGCTGGGAGAAGAAGGGGGCAGCGTAAGAAAGGGAAGGGTCCTCTTCTCCCCTCAGGCAGCTTTCCAATTATGCTAACATAACTCTGAGGCTGTAGAGCATCAGAGCAGCTACCGTGGTGTCTCCCAAAACCCCAGCAGTAACCAGCTGTGGGAGATGAAGAGGGGGAGGCGGGATCGAGAGCCACTTCAGGATGTAGAATGGATCATTCCAGTAGAATAGACCTCTACATTGGTAGCTAGGAATAGAGGTAAAATGGATGAATCAGGATTAAGTCAAACTAAAACAGAAAATGCATAGGTAAATAACAGAATGAATTGGTATGGTAGGCTAAGGAGATGAACTAAAGGTGGGATATGAAGAGGTGACTTTTGAGACACTTTTTGCCAGATAAAGAGGCAGGAAGAATCCAGAAGAAAAAGTAACACTGAATTGATTAAGCCCTGCTTGGAGTTGGTCAGAGCTAGATCGAGGGGTAAGGGGACTAGGGCAGAGAACTCAGTAGAGCACGCTGCTCATCGTTCACAGTAACTGTTGTCGTTCTTCCTGAGGCTGTTTCCACCACAGACCCCCTGCAAGCCCCTAAGCCAGCACTGACTGTAGGCTTCTGCCCAGAGGCCTCCTGCATCCACCCAACCGCCTACACTAAGGGATTGCGGAGGATGCACGTGCGTAAAGGGCAGGAGCTCTTGTCAGCCTCTGTTTCGGTTTCAGTTCATTCTGTGCTCTTTTTTTCAAATCAAAGTGTAACTTGGACTTGAGACTGATGAGGAAGCCATCACTACCGATGAAATTTAGAGGGGCAACCTGCCATGTTTCCCATTCTTCTGCTTGTGGAAACTAAAGCGCTTTCATTTTTCCCCCTTCAACCCTGGGCGTATGTTTTTTTTTCTGGCACAGGAAACGGTGATATCTTTTCTTTTGAAGATGCTAATCGAGCCATGCAGAGCGGAGTTTCAGGGATCATGATTGCACGGTAAGTAGTTTCTCTTCCTTTCTTCTCTAACTAACAAGAAGCTGCCATTCCTCATGGAACTGGAGAAAGATGCCCTTGTTTCCATCCAGAAGATAAAAGATCCATCTCCCACCTCCCGGGCATCCATCCTGTGGGGCTGGGAAAGACACCTGTCTGCAGCCCCTGGAGAAACGCTACCAGCCCACATCGAGTTCCTCTTTAAATAATGAACCTCTTTGTTCAAAATTACAAGAACAGGAGTCTTTCTTGGTTCAGCCCCCAGCCCCTGTGGGGAAACCTGGCGAGAGGCTGCTGTTTTGCTGCAGCAGTACTGAGTTAATGAACCAAGGCTTGATTCAACAGAAAGCAGCTGTCTACCCTGGTCCTCCCTCGTACCTTCCTCGGGATGGAGCATTTTTGAAGTGCTCCACAGATGTTGTGTGTTGTCACGAAGGTTCTTCTTGGTCACAGGGGAGCGCTCATCAAACCCTGGATCTTCACTGAAATCAAAGAACAGCGGCACTGGGACATCTCTTCCACTGAGAGGCTCGACATCCTTAAGGACTACACGAGCTACGGCTTGGAACACTGGGGCTCCGACACGCAGGGGGTGGAGAAGACCAGGAAGTTCCTGCTGGAGTGGCTCTCCTTCCTCTGCAGGTAGCAACCTCTCTTCTGCGGCTCCCTCAGAGTTCCTGTAGGTTCTGCCAAATGATCGTGGTGTGAGGAAACTGGAGCGTGACTGGAGTGACTAGCAGGGGTGACGGTCTTCTAGGATCAGTGGCAAACACTGCCTGGCGGGAACAGCAGCAAGAGAGCCACTGATCGCAGACAGGGTAGTGCTGCCCAGAAAACCCTGGGTTACTTAAGTTCACAGAAGTTTGTATCTTAGGCGTATTTGTTTCTGCTAGATGTGGCACCCCGTAGGAATTTCTGTTCTGTTGTTGCTTTTTGAGAGATTGCTCTGTGCCTTGGAGAAGCCCGTCTTGCCAACCTGGGGAGCTCAAACCTCATTTTCTGATGACGTGTGAGGTTTGCAGAGAGAGCAAACTAAACCATCACATGCGTGTTTATTGTGACGGCGTCGTCATTTTCGTTCATGACCAAACGCATGTGGAGGAAATCTGTGCTGCAGCCGTTTCCTTTCCTCTTTCTGGCGTTGCTCAGGTACATTCCAGTCGGCTTACTGGAGCGTCTGCCGCAGCGGATCAACGAAAGGCCCCCTTACTACGTGGGCCGAGACTACTTGGAGACCTTGATGGCGAGTCAGAACGTGGACGACTGGATTAAGATCAGGTAAAGGGCTTCACCACGTCCTGCCTTGCCAGCCTTCGAACTCTTGCCGCCTCAGCAGCCTGCCTTTCTTTTCCTTTTCCAGTGAGATGCTCCTGGGCCGTGTTCCTGCCGACTTCTCCTTCCTGCCAAAGCACAAAGCGAATTCTTACAAGTAGGGTCTGGGGAGGCCAAAGGAAGCGCCGGCGTCCGTCTCATGCTGCCTTTCATCGAATCATTAAAAAAATTCCCATTTTTCACTTGGCTGCTGGTTGCCTTCATTGCTTCCCCCCTCCGCCCCCCAGGACAGACG